CCTCCCCTTCGCACGATCGCAGGCAGTAGTAAAAAAAAAGTACCCTCGCGACCTGGTTCCACCTCCCCTCGCAGCCTTCCAAATAAAAAAAAACAAGACCCACGTCCCGTCTCCCAGTCTCCCCCACCTCTCTCTCCCGATCCATCCTCTCGATCTCGCGAGAAAAATCGCCACCTCGCCTCCGCCACTGCAACAACCGTCGCTTCCATAGACTACGTCGACAGCGTCTTAGAAGGTTGACCCCTGCGGGGAAGTTGGCGGGAGCTCGCGGCCGACCAGATCCAGTGCAGCGCCGCCGATGTCTGGGTGGAAGATGAGCGCGAGCTTTCGGGGTCAGCATACCGCCGGGGAGGAGGGCAGACGGATGAGAGGGAGGCTCTCCAAGGAGGAAGCCGACTAGCTTGTCACCAGGGGAAGCCGACCAGCATATATATAGGCATGGTTGTCGTTCACAGAGATCGTTAGTTTTGATTTATTTTTTTCTGATTGGTTTTTGCCCCATAACGTCTCCTTCTTCTGCTAATAGCTAGCCATGGTCTCGATCTATTGGTGGTTCGTGATGGATGACTATCCTTTGTTTTTCTTGATTGGATTTGGTGTAGGGGTGGACTATCTTTGAGATCCTGCGGTACATGTCGGAGCATAACTGGTCGGTGTACGAGGAGGCCCTCAAGGCCAATCCGGTTCTTGGCAAGATGATGATCATCAGCGTCGTCTACTCCCTCGGCGACTGGATAGCCCAGCCCAGGTGCCAATCCAATCCAATTCCCCTCGCTGACTGACTGTTTTACTTTTACATCCCCTTTCTGCTGCTGCAATAGCTAATTCGGTTCATTCTTGTTTGTGTTGTTCCTGCTTGTTTTATTTGTTGATGTTTACAGTAGAAACTGAATTAATAGGAGCGAGCTTGCTCTACCTTTTGGTATTGCTGTACGCAATGAAGCTGACAGGAGCATGGCCGTCCTCCTGCTATTGAAAATTTCGCTGATTCATGTCATGATTAGCCAGATTTTTCGTTGCATATAGTTCAGTAAAACGATGGATTTGAACCAGCGCACTATGGATCGCCGATGAAGTTCAAGAAACTACAAATAGAAAATGATTAGTACAAAATGAGGCCGAGCTGTCCTGCTAATGTGCAGGCCGGATAATAATTAATCGTGCACTTGAAGTAGCATGTTCTTCCGACATATATATCTACATGTCCATGTCTTCTTATATAATCAACTAATTAGTGTACCTACTACTCTAGCACTTCCAAGCAAAATAACAATGATAAGGACAGGTGCTCTGCTAGCTAAACTGAAGTAAAATAAGATAAAGATTGATGCCTCATGTGCAATCAACAGAAGTGACAAAGTATTATCTTTTAAAAATTATATAAGCCTGAGTTGTTGTGACAACCAAACATTGTACATTACCAAGATATTTTTTACTAAACCAAACTGAAATTAAGAAATAGAGTAAGGTGCTAATACTTCCATTGCACAAATCTGTAGGTTTGCTCATTAATTACATGCACTGAGATGTTTGTGGTACCAGGGTGCTCGAGCGCGACGACACGCCTACTGAGTTCCTAGCGCTCGCGAACGCCGGAGTTGGACGCGCCCATGCATGCATTTTAGATCCGAGGACGGCATCGTGAACGTAAGCACTCAGTTGCTCCTCAGCAGCAGTTGATCCACCTGGGGTTCTACTTGAGTTCCTCCGTCCCCTGGCAGCGAGGCAGCAGGTCCCCGTCCCCCCTCTCCGTCTCCGGCATGTTGATCCCGGTGGCGTCACAGCGGTGGCATGTGTGGTGTCATGTCATAATAAGGTAGCATCTGTTCTTTCCCCACCCTAATTTTTGTGGTCAGCATCCGGAGCCCAACCTACCAATCGTTGTCCCCAAACCTCACTGACTTCTTATGTGGGTGCTCTTTCTTCCCCCTCTCTCGTTTCACTTGACGCTGATAGCTGATTGCTAGAATCCTCGGTTGTGCTCTTGTCTTCTAAATTTGGCATGGTATGCATTTGCTTGAGATGAGGGTATGGGATGGAGGTGGCAATAATTTCGAGGTTGTGGTTTATTGGGCTTATAATTTCGACATGATTAATGATATGAACCGTATGTTCAGTTTTCCACAATATTGGTTTTTTCTATGCAATATGAGGCTATGTTTCAAGTTATTATTATCTATTGCCTTGCATTCGATGGCTGTACAGTAACATGCTCTCTGAGAAAAGGTTATGTTTCATGTTATTATTATCTATTGCCTTGCATTCGATGGCAAATTGACAACCGATGTCATATCTTTGCCCACTCATGATGCCGATAAATAGTTCAAAAAAATTAGAAAGACGTATATATTTCACTGTGCTAGCTACGTATGTTTATAATGGTTTATTTTCACCAAAATTTTGCTGCACTTTGACAGTAGACTATGTGATAATTTGTAACAGAGTTCAGAGAAACTGGGCAACACACAGTTCCAAAAGTGTGCACTACACATGGAAGAAAACACTGTAGTATTAGCTGTTGTAATCTACGAAATTTTGTACTGCGTGAGTGAGGTTAAGAATGGCTAACTGATTGAACTTGTTCACAACATTAACAGTAATCATGATGAACTTAGTATTCCTGACTTTCTATTTCATGTTGTTTTCTACTGTAGACCTATTTGCAGGTTTTTACAGAGGAATTAGTTTAGGTGTTACTGGTTCACTTGCTACATCTGAAACGTATTTTGTTGTTATTGTTACTGAATCAACTAAGACATGGCTGGAGCACACTAATCCTAATCTAAGAGGCCATTTCTCTCACTTATTTGCTGGAGGAGTTAAGAGAGAAAATATTTTTTATGACTATTGTGTTTTCTTTCCAGAAAATCTGCATGACGCGGCGTAAAATTTATACTGGTTCTCAGCATGTTACTAGGATCTAGCTGCACAAATGGATTTTTGTATGTCCTGCATGCATTGTTGAGGAAATTGTTAACTGGTAGTTGTTCGGTTGGCTGGTGAGTAGGGGATTAATCGGCTAATCGGCAAGTTAATCGGCCATTTAATCAACTAATCGGACGATTTATCGGTTTATAGGCTACTCGGTGACCCTACGAGTAGGGATTAATCGGCAAGTTAACTGGTTAATCGGATGAATTCTTGAACAGGGCCTGCATGGAGTTCTCAAAAAGTTATTCCTTGTCATTTTGTAGTGCCACCAATACATTGGGTCTTTGTATATTAAAACCTTTCTGGTCTCTGTTTTGGCTCATGTAATACTTACCGATACGATTTACTTGTTCATCAGAATAATGTGTTGATTCCTTGACACATCATAAGCTTTTTTCAAGCTCATTCCAGGAGATACACTTGCATCTTTTATCTATGTGATGTGCCTTGTGAAGTTCTGAAACAAGGAATGCATGACCAAGGCTCCAACAAATCATCAGCACTAAATGCTACAGAAGGAAATGATCTATGCCATCTGTTTTATCTAGAGAGATCATGGTGTGAAGGGACTCAATATAGGGTACTGGTACTGAGTGCTTGTTGCTATAACATATTTCTTCTGTTTTCTTATAGAGAAATAAATGAGTTCTTTCGGCCCAACAAAAGAAAACATATAGTATCTTCAAGGAAGCAGCATTTTGAGTCAACAAATTTTCCCCCCCATGCCAAAATGGAATCCATGGTAGTCTAGCATACTCGAATACCGTGATACAAGTAGGAGTATCAAATACAAGAAATTTCTTTTTTATGCGCACATTCTTGGAAGCATGAGTGTATGTTCATGGAGAAAACATGGTCAATTTTTGTGTAAAAAACTGATAATGTTCAATACATGTTTAGCATGGGCAGCCAGACTTCTGTTTGCTCCGCCAGACAAAACCTGGTAACAATGGGTTGGAAAGTGGACAAACAGGAAAAGAGAACTGAGAAGAAGTGCCAAGTGGTCTGCTTGGAGTTAGGGGAATTCAAAGTGCATTTGTGGTTATTGTTTCTGCATTATGCTTGTATTCACAAATTGTTCGGCAAAAATGGAAGCAACTGTGTAATGGTCAAAGCATATCATCAAGGACAAATAGCTAATCAGAATTACTTCTGTTTTTATTTGCATATGATGCCAATAGCTTCACTTGAAACACATCTTGAAGTTGAAGTGACATCTTGTTGTTTTGGGGTATTATGTGACTATTTTTTGTACAATGTGAAAGAAACTTAAATTACATGAGGCGAATGTATGTATAGGGGAAGCAAGTGTAAGGTGATGTTTTTGAAATGCAGTGATAATTGCATGGCACTGATTCTTGAAGTTACAATGATGTTTTAATCAATGTCTCAATATACATGTTTGTTGAGCCTATAACTCTTCATAAAATAATTGAAATTAATGCAGCTTGTGCAAAAATAACAGGTTGGTCATGTTTCTACATATTTCTATTTGCATTTCGTTCACTGGTGATTATTATTTTTGTATTATTATTTTTGTACAGGATGCATATCTCATTATTATTAATGTTGAAATGGTAACGAAGATTCAGATATGCATACATGATTTTCCGGATGATTTTTTGTAGCCTGCACCAGGAGTGCCCAAGAGCAAATAGGTTGGGGTAAAAGATACTATTTGTTTGACCACACTCATAACCTGCATGTGACATACGTGATGTAACTTAGTGATAATTTGACAAATGTCTCTTTGTGTAAGTTTGTTATATATCCCGTGGCAACGCACGGGCATTCGACTAGTTAAATGGTAAAAATGGTCAAGACACAGCGATCGTGATGTTTTGCGGGAGAGACGCTCCTTGTAGATGTCATGGGAGGGATCAATGGGAAGCCAGGTGAAATGCTCAGGAGAAAACAGTCAAAAAAAATGCTCCGGAGGAAACAATTATTTCTTTTTCTTTATTTAAGTTGAGAAAACAGTCATTTCGATACTGCTGAAAAACGATGATTTAGGCATATATTTGGATTATTATCTAACCATTCTAGATGAGTTTGACCATTGACTTTACATGCAATCATCGTGGAAAAGCATAAACATTCCCCTACCAACCATTCGAGCAACATCGATCCAAGCTGCCATGGCCGCGGTTCTCCCGATCTGCCTGCTTCTCGTGCTTCTCCTCGCCATCCCGCTCATCCTCTTCAAGTCCAGGCGCCCGGCGCCTCATCGTGGCCCCGGTGGCAGGGCCGTGCGGCTCCCGCCAGGGCCATGGGCGCTCCCGGTCATCGGTCACCTGCACCATCTCGCCGGCGCCCTTCCGCACCGTGCTCTGCGCGACCTCGCGCGGCGCCACGGCCCGCTCATGATGCTCCGCCTCGGCGAGCTCGACGCCGTGGTCGCGTCGTCCCCTGACGCCGCGCGCGAGATCATGAAGACCCACGACGCTTCCTTCGCGTCCAGGCCTCTGACGTCGATGCAGCAGATGGCGTACGGCGACGCCGAGGGCCTCATCTTCGCGCCCTACGGCGACGCATGGCGGCAGCTTCGCAAGATATGCACTGTCGAGATCTTCAGCTCCCGCCGCGTCCAGTCCTTCCGCCCCGCCCGCGAGGAGGAGCTCGGTCGCCTCCTCCGCTCCGTCGCGGCGGCTTCTGCCTCGTCTTCGCCGGTGAACCTGAGCGAGCGCATATCGGCGTACGTCGCGGATTCTACGGTGCGCGCCATCGTCGGCAGCCGGTTCAAGCAGAGGGACACGTACCTGGAGATGCTGCAAGAGGGACTCAAAATCGTGCCCGGGATGACCCTTCCCGACATTTTCCCCTCCTCGCGTCTCGTGCGGCTCCTTGGCAGCGTCCCCGGCAGGATACAGCGCCATAGCCAAGACATGAAGCTGTTCATGGACACCATCATCCAAGAGCACCAGGAGAACAGCGGCCCCGACTGCGACGGCGACAAAGAAGAAGACTTGCTCGACGTGCTCCTGAGACTCCAAAAGGAAGGGGACTCGCAGTGTCCACTCACCACTGACAACATCAAGACCGTCATGCTGGTAAGCCCCGCTTTTGCGAAATAGCCGTGCTAGAAATTCCTCTCGGAAATCCCTTGATTAATTAGCTCCTCTGTTTCTTGATTTCGTTGTTAGGACATGTTTGGCGCCGGCAGCGAGACGTCGGCGACGACGCTGCAGTGGGCGATGGCGGAGCTGATACGGAACCCGCGGGTTATGCGGAAGGCGCAAGACGAGGTCCGGCAGCAACTCGCCGGGCACGACAAGGTGAGGGAGGCCGACCTGGCAGATCTGCGATACCTTGGGTTTGTCATCAAGGAGACGCTGAGGATGCACCCGCCGGCGCCATTGCTGCTGCCGCGTAGGTGCGGGAGCCCGTGTCAGGTTCTGGGCCTGGACGTGCCGGAGGGGGTCATGGTGATCGTGAACGCGTGGGCGATCGGCATGGACCCGGCGCACTGGGAGGCACCCGAGGAGTTCGCACCGGAGCGGTTCGAGCAGAACGGGAGGGACTTCAAGGGGGCGGACTTCGAGTTCGTGCCGTTCGGCGGCGGGAGGAGGATATGCCCCGGCATGGCTTTCGGGCTGGCGCACGTGGAGCTCGCGCTCGCGGCGCTGCTGTTCCACTTCGACTGGGAGCTGCCAGGCGGGGCGGCGGCCGAGGATCTGGACATGACCGAGGAGTTTGGCGTCACGGCACGGCTCCGGTCTGACCTTGTCGTGGTCGCCGTGGCCACGGAGTAAACGCACTTTTGGTGATGTGCATCCTATATTTGTTTTTTTGAGGTGACCTATATTTGTTGATCCTGTGCAAGTTGATTAGCCCATCACCGTGGCGTGAAACAAACGGTTTCACTCCGGAAAAGTAGGATCGCACGAGGCGATCGAAAGAGGAGCCGGTGGCGCCACCGGTTCCCCCTCTCTCTGTCGGCTGCTCCGGCGGCGGGAAGAAGAAGGAGCATCGGGTCTGTCCGCTAGGTGGATGTGTGGTAGGGTTAGTTTGAGGGTGACGCTGCCGAGGCCGTTGCGGTGTCACGTCGGAATAAGTTTCTCCGGGCTCCGTTCGCGGTCAGACGAGGTTTTTGCCTTCGTCTAGGAGCCAGCGGGGTGGGGGATCCCCGATTCTCGTCGAGGTCGCGAGCTATGGTGGCTGGAGGTCCATCGGCACTGGCCGTTTGGGTCCTCAGACGAGCGATGGATGCAGGAGACGAAGGCGCTTCTTCTTCCTTGTCGGTATGATTTGCTATTGTTGTTCTTCTCCTTCCTCTGCGCTGATGCTGGAGGGAGATCCTGCTTTGCCCGGGCGGATGGTCCGGCCGCGGTGCTGGACCGGTCGGATGATTAAAAAACTCTTCCTTTCGGAAGGGACATTTTTCATGGTACTCAAAGCCAAAGATGGCGACGCCTGTTGCAGCTGTGTTGGATTGATGTCCATGCCCTCTCAGCGCTGGTGTCAAGAAAGGAGGAAGCAGCGTGGCGGCAATTGTACCATGGTCAAAGATGATGACCTGCTTGCGCCTGGTTGCAGATCCTTCTACTGCATGGGTCTTCTCTCAAGATTCAGGGATGATGTCGCAGGGCTACGGAGATCTTCTTATGTTATGGTTGGCTTAGGGTACCCTAGGTCTTCGTGGTCCTTTGTATTTGCGTTTCAGTGTGCTTGTAAGGGTCAACTACTTTGTACTGTTTCGTGATTTGAATGAAAAAAATTCTAAAAAAAAGCCCATCACCGTCAAAAAAAAATTAGCCCAGCGTGCTCATCCGTGCTTTGAATTCACCGGTCCGCTGGACTCGATCCGCTGGACTCGATGTAGGTACCGCCGTGTCGTTCGCTGGACATATCCTATTTGATGCGCCCGACTACATTTGCTATGGGCTAATTTTTATTTTATTTTAGGGCAAAACCAAGCTTTATTGCTCAAATTACACACAGAGTGATATAAAAAAGAAACTATGATATTTGGCACATGTGTGACAGATAACAAAACTACCACACACCTCGTTCTTTTTATATAGTTACATGCATGCATATATTAGAGCGACTCACTCTTTATTCACTTCGTTTCTTCCTTTAATTACACACATACACTTGATGACAAAAAAGCTAATGTCATCCTAGATTTTCTCATATTTCAAAAATTCAAAATGTTTTGTAGCTCAAACCGTTAGTCCAATGCAAAAACCGGTTTCATATAAAACATTTTTCGGGACGAGATCTTCGAAACTAGATCCCATGTTGGTAGTTCCAACAACTTTTTTGGGTCAAAAGTTACCACGCGTGGTCTATATAAATTACCACGCCTATTCTACGCAATTTATCATAATATTTGCACATAAATTACCAGGGGCATAAAAATGGTTTTTCCAGCTTTCACCACGTACACATGCATATGTTTGCACTAGAGGAGAAAAGCTTACATCATCCTAGATTCTTCCATAATATAAAATTCAATTTTTGTGTGGCTCAAACCGTCCGTCTGATGCAAAAACGGTTTTCACATAAAAGATTCGTAGCGGTGAGATCTTCGAAACTAGATCACATGTTGGTATGTTCCGACGACTTTTTTTCCGGGTTAAAAGTTACCTCACATGGGCTACATAAGTTACCACGCTTGTTCTATGCAAGTTACCGTGCTATTTTTACATAAGTTACCAGGGTTATATTTTTCAACAAGTATTTCCCTTTGGTAAAAGTTATCGTGGTGTTTGTACGTAAGTTATTGGGTCAAAAGTTACCACCCAGGGGGTGTGCAACTTATCATGCTACTTTCACATAAGTTACCGGAGGTGTGTCTTTCAACAACTGTCTTTTTCCCCTTGGTCAAAGTTACCGCGGTGTTTTTACGTAAGTTACCGGTTATGCAATTTCTACATTATCGTGCTATTTTCACATAAATTACTGGGGGTATATTTTCAACAACAACTTTTTTCCATTGGTCAAAGTTACCACGGGTGTTTTGTACATAAATTATCGGGTACGCGGTTCATATATTACCGTGCTATTTTAACATAAATTACCATGATTATGTTTTTCAGCAACTTTCTCCCACTTGGTCAAAGTTACCACGATGTTTGTATGCAACTTGTCGGGTATGCAGTTTGTTTATACCGTGTTATTTTCACATAAGTTGTTGGGGGTATTTTTCAACAAATCCACCCCACCCCCCTAAGTTACCATGGTCTTTGAAAGTAAGTTATCGGGTATGCGGTTCATATATAACCGTGTTATTTTCACATAAGTTATCAGGGGTATGTTTTTCAACAAAAAAATTTACCTCCTTGGTCAAAGTTATCGCGTTGTTTGTATGTAAGTTATCGGATATGCAGTTCCTAAATTACCGTGCTATTTTCACATAACTTACCGGGGTTATATTTCCAACAACTTTTTTCTGGGGTAAAAAATTACCGTGGTATTTGTATGTGAGTTATTAACTCACTTATGTGTATATTAGCATGCTATTTACACATAAGTTACCGAGGGTATCTTTCAACTTCTTTTCCCGGGTTAAGAGTTACCACCTTTGTTTGTATGTAAGTTATCGAATAAGCAATGCATAAATTATCATAATATTTACACAAAACTTACCGAAGGTATGTTTTCAATAAAAAAAACCCACAGTTCAAAATTGTCATGGTGTTTGTATATAATTTATAAAAAATGTACTGCATAAATTATCATGCTATTTACATAGAAGTTATCGTGGTGTTTTTATTTAGAAAACTCTAGTTAAATTTACCATGGTGTTGTAAGTAAACTATCAGGTCTGTAGTGCTTAAATTATCATGAAACGCCGACAGAAGTTACCAGGTATGTTTCAACAACTTTAAGAATGTTTTTATTCCTAGGTCCATAAAGTTATTTGGTCCAGTCTGCGTAAGTTAATGCACTGCGGTAAGTAAGTTACCATGATGTTTACCAAAAACACAACACACCACCACCCCAAGTCAACAACTGATGATCTCTATCTCCTAACAGGCAAACTTCTTTTTTTGCGGGGGACCTAACAGGCAAACTCAACTCCAAGATAGAGAAAAAATAATGCAGGGGGAATCTCAAGAGAAATCTAACCAATATCCCTCAACCTTTCTGCAAAAACACCTATGGAAAGAACCTTCAGCAGATCAAAGAGGCTCGCACCAATACACTCAAGTAAAGTAATATGTATTTACATCTTCAGTGGATATTGCTGCTGTGATTTCCTCTCTTGCATTCTTGACAATTATTCTTTCTCTTTGACACAATGTTACATGCAGTTCTAGCTGCTTATCTTACATTCTTGATCATTATTTCTCTTTGACACATGTAAATGCCTTATCGCTCATAAAAGCCCTTTCTAGACCTTCAATTATCCAAATAACATTTGACAGTCAAGCATTCAACGGACCGAACCAGAAGCTAGCCATGCGTGGTTGTAAGGTTGTAGCAAACAAGCAAGACGAAGCTCTGATCCAATGGTAATGATGTGGTCAAACAAGAAAAATCTTTACATAAATCGTTGACACGCACTGATAACTGAACTCAACTTACCTTCCAAATGGTCAGGTGCTTCTGTGGGGGTGAATGAGAACACGATCCTCCCTTGGGACCTGGAGAATTCTCCATCAGACTTTGCAAGAATCCTGCAATCTAAGCATACCAAGCAAGTGCGGGTGTCCGGAGATGCAAACCATCGGCTGCTGCAGTCCCTCGCAAACACTAGGGAATGGGGAATGTTCACCACCCCCAACTCACATCTGCACCACCGAGAGCAAGGGCAGGCAGGGTGGAGCGCGGCGGCGGCTAGCTCACCGGAGCGACGCGGGCACGGTTGGGCGTTGAAAGGAGTACAGAGGGAGGCCAGGAGGCGGAGCTGCATCCGGGCGAGCTCAGGCACAGAGAGAGGAGGGAGGAGATGGAGAGGAGGAAGGGAAGGAGAAGGGGCTGATGCGGGCAAGGACGCCGGTGACCGACGGCTGCCGGCATGGCCGGTGCCGAGCGCGTCTCGCAGGCGCATGAAGCCTTCCTGGTGGCGCGACTAGAGAGGGTGAGGGAGAGAGATAACACGAGGCTGCCAGGCGGGATCGATCGTGTCCGTTAGATTCAAAGCAGACCTTGATGAGATCGTGTGGCAGTTTTGCAATCTGCCACACAGTTGCCACATACATATTTCGATAAAAAAGATCATGGGTTCGACCAACCAGACGTGTCACATCTAATCAAGAGAATGAGGAATTTTGGCTGGGGTATCAGCATCTGTATTGACAACTCATCCTTCGAAGGTGATTTGGCAGTAGAACATTGTGGTCCTCAGCTTGATCTCGTTAGTAATTGAGGTCATAACTTACATGAGTGCCTCTTTTGATGTCATTCACCCTTAGCTTGAAGATCCTCCACGAGGGATAAGGCCTCACAACATGCGACAACTTCCAAACATGCCACATCGAGAACACCATCAACCACCAGGGAAGAGCTTCCCAAGAATTTTCCTTTTTCATCCCGAGAAACTAGAGACATCGATCCTCCTCTCATGGATCTCGCAATCCCAGCATCAACATGAATTTTAGCATTTCATCAACTGGATAGGAGTGGCGACAGATGTTTCTTAGATGGTGCCTTTGGTCTTTATGTTGTACGACTTTGTAAGGTCTTGTGTTAATAATTAATAAAATGGTTGTATGCATCATCGAGATGCAGAGGCCGGGGGTATTCCTCCTTTTCTAAAAAAACATGAATTTTTGCATAACCCAAGGGAGGTGCTTTAGGT